AACAAGCCCTAAACCCTAAACCCGGCACCTCATGGAGGAGTCTGCCTGCCGCAAGCCGGCGACCACATCGTTCAGGTGTTGCTCGATCTCATTCAGGAGGCAGAAAACCTGACCGTCAACAACTGGGGCTTAGCTTGAGGGTTTTAGGTTTCAGGGTTTAGGGTTAGGAAGCAGAAAAAGCCTGAGCCTGCATTAACCCAGTGCTTAGGGCTGCTATTTTTAGTTGCTTAGAAGCCCTACACTTCGACAAAACAACCACGAAACATCCGAAGCCTACAGGAAGCCGACTGACACCCTAAGCCAAGAGAGCGGCTGAACATCCTCAAGCCCACTAGATATTGAAATCCTACACCTGAAATGCTAAGCCCTAAATCCTCAGGCCTAAACTACTACACACCCCTGCACCCCTACCACCCAAAACCTCAAAGCCCCAAACTTGGTGACCGCCAGAAGACATACACGAGGACTTCCCTGACCCACACGCAAACCCGAAACCTGCAGCACATTCCCAAACCACTCTTAAGTTCTGAAGCCCTAAACCCTAAACCCTAAACCCTAAACCTTTTTCGGGAGAGACTGTAAGCCTTCCCTCTGCATGCGCTTGAAGCCAGCGCAGCGCTCGTGTAAAGCTACAGCCCTACCTTAAGAACCCAAAACCTATTTTTTTGTAGGGTCCCTATAATTCCCATATTAGGGTTTATAATAAGAACCTACAAAAATGTGGGTTTTGGGTTCTTAAGGTAGACCCCAAACTCCTCTAAAACCGCTTCCGAGGACGGCGGCCTCGTGTCGCTGTCGCCACTTCCGCACCTCGCGGCGTCCTTGTCGGGCCTTCCGCTCGATGCAAACGTGGGGCTCATAGGGTTTACGGTTTAGGGTTTAGGGTTTTAGGGCAAGTTTTTGGTCCCGGCAGTAGGGTTTAGGGTTTGGGGTGTAGGAAGGATTCCTGGCTTTAGGCTGAAATGGGTTTGAATAGGCCTTGCCGTTTGCTTGGAAGCTCAATTGACCAAGGAAGTAGGATTGGCAAGATAGGCCATTGCGAACATTAAGGTTGTAGGGGTACTAAGTTTAAGTTGACATACTTAATAATAGAAAGTTTCAAACGAATGTATAATGCAGGGTGCCTTTAGAGCAGAATAGTTACAATAAGGAAGCCCAGTGAATTTTACTGGCAATCATGTAGACTTCTAGATTCTGTGTCGGCCTGTAGGTCTGTATGTGCGGCTTGTATGTGTCGCGGCTTCGGTCAGTGATTTCTTGTGTAGCTCGGGAGTCTCCTGAAGACCGTTTCCCGGTTTCTGGCTTCAGGCTGAGGAATTTTTGGCATATTTTGGTGCAAGTTTGCTTTGGGTTCAATGGCTTCTTTGACGGCCTGCCAGCGTGCCGTAATTCCTAAAACCTAAACCTCCAGCCCTAAATTGCTTCTTTTCAAAGGGAGGTTTCTTACAATTGTGGTTACTATTTACGGTTAGGGGCTAGGGGTTCACGGTTTAGGTTTAAGGTGAGTAAGATGGATTGTGGGCAGTTAATAACACGGATGGTATAGGGGCAGATACAAAGTAGACTTCATTACTACGTCAGCACAGCTCGCTTCAGTTTTGGGGTGTGTACTACCCAGAGACTGCAAAACCCCTTATTTAAGGAATATACCTTAAATCATATTAGGATTCCTATTATAGTTTAAGGTATATTCCTTAATTAAGGGGTTTTGGAGTCTCTGGGTACCCCATCCTGCGAGGCTTCGAGACCTGAAAGGTCTCCTACACGAAAGTGTTTAGGGGATTTAGGACGGTGTATATGGGCAGTTGTCAAAATTAGGGTCCCTTTTGGGCTACCCTAAATAATAGGTGCCGTATTATAATAAGGACCCAAAAAGGGACCATAATTTTGACAACCACTCATATTGAGACGTTGGCCCCATCTGAAAGACTTCAGGCCAAAGAGCGTAAGGCCCAAGCAATGGCTTCTGAGGGCTTCACGACTGGAGGAGCACAAGATAGCCCCAAGCCCTATACAATCCACAGCGAGCACAACTCTACACATCACTCGTGCTACCAGCAGGTCGACATGCCTGTGTTCAGGATACAAACCGCGCGGAAGACACACCCCAAACCCAACACTCACGACGAAGGCTAAGCATGAAGCCGCAAGCCGTAAAGCATACGTTCGGAAGTCCCATCTCCAAGTCCTACCCCGGTCCTACCCCCTACTTAGGGCCCTTACTTCGATGCAGTCCTACCTACTAGGTATCTATACAAATTTAGCATTTGCTTCTTGAATCAAAAAAGCGCCCAAACCCTAAACCCTAAACCCTAAACTGCCAACCTTTACTGGCCTCACGGTCAAAAGCCGAGTGCAGCCGCTGGGAAAACCGCCAAGGGGCGGCCCTCTTCCTTGGACTTTGAGTTTTAGGGTTTACGGTTCGGTTTAGGGTTTAGGGTTTAGGGTTTGGGGTTTAAGGTTTAGGGTTTAGGGTAGGGGTACAGGGTTCAGGATTGACAGTTTAGGTGATGATCGGCTGCATAGCTGCTGCTCTCACTTATTCGATCCAAGAACGATAACAAACAACGCAACTTGTAAGACTACTAAGACAATGTCTGCTAGTGCTTCTGCGACGACGACGACGACCACAACAACAACTGCTGCTACTACAACTGCTGCTGCTGCGGCTGCTGCTGCTCCTACTGCGACTACTGCTGCTGCTGCCGCTACCACGACGACAATGCCCCCCTCCTAAAGCCACTTCCACTCTCACTCCCACCCCAGCTACCACTGCTACTAACACTACCGGTAAAATCGCGGCCTAGATACCAGTACTAACATGCGGCTCCTCATTACAACTATAGCATAACATACTCCAAGGCCCCTGTATCATAGAAGCCTTATAGAACCCTTTATAGTGTTCTAGCTCCTTTTTTTTAAGAACACTTTTAAAGAAACCCTGTTCTAATTAAGGAGGCCCCTATCTTATAAGACCACCTCGTGCTCTCGTAGCCGGGTCCAAGCTTCGACCATCTCATCAGCTGGTCTTTGAGCACCTGGCAGCCACATTAGGGTTTAGGGTTTAGGGTTTAAGCACATTGAGTGTTATGCCGAAAATACAACATGATACGATACTGTTCTACTACTAATGAATGATACTAACAATGTTCCTGATAAGCGAGCCGTAGAATAAAAGCGAGACGCATTAATTCAACACTAGCAAGAATACAACAAACAACAATACTGTTGATGGACAAAATTCTGCATGACCAAAATATAGTATAGTACCATAAATCCCATAGTTTAGGTCTATAAGGTCATGCAGGATTTTGTCCATCAGCCGTAGTGATAGGCAATCGTTGCAATGAGCACCTGGGCTCGCGAGGCCCTTCCTGCATCGTTGATGTTGAAGATGTTCACCTGGGGCTTAGTCGGGTTTGCGTTTAGGGTTTAGGGTTTAGGGTTTAGGGTTTAGGGTTTAGGGTTTAGGGTCTTTCTATCACCCCTTCGACCCTGAGCCTGAAACCAAGCCTAAATCCGAATAGCGGAGGTTGAGGATTCACAAGGGTCTTACACGGCAGTTTGAAGTGCTTTCAAGCTCCCTGGGCTTCTTATTCGTCTAGCATGGGCACCCTTACAGGAATTGAGGCTATGGTTGAAGCGCACCGTGTAGGGCCTTGGGATTTGGGCTTGGGGGTTTGAGCGTTTGGGATCTGGGGGTGCGGGGATCAGCGTTTTGGGATGTGCAGGCGTATGGTGTGGTCTCATGGAGTCCTGGTAGTACGGTTGGGGTGCTAGAACCATTCTTGCCAATGATTGGCCAGTCCGGGAGCAGCAGCTTTTGCAGCTTCTTCCGTTTCAGAAAGATGTCTCGCACTGCAGGTGTCCCCAAATACCCTAACCCTAAACCCTAAACCCTAAAACCCCAAATATGGATGGGGATCCTGCTTGAATTTGATCCCCCCCCCCCCGCCTCGGAGCCCTGCGAAGAGCTGAAGGTGTCGTGCGTCTCTTGGTCGGACTGCGAGCTCCATTCCTGAGCATTCGGTTTAGGGTTTAGGGTTTAGGGTCTAGGGTTTAGGGTTTAGGGCTTAAGTTTGAGAGTTGCTGCTTTTAGGGGCTTAAGGCTGAGCATTGCTGTTTTTTGGGGCTTAAGGGCTTCTATGAGAATTCTGTAATGGTGTTGCAGAAAGGAGTTTGTCCATAAAAGTTCAAAACAGGTTCTATAACAGGGCGCTAGTGTTTCAGGTTTAGGGCTTGTCTCCTGCTCCCCTAAACCCAAAACCCTAAACCCTAAATTAGGGATTTGCGTTTGGAGTCTAGGGTTTGGGCCTAAACCCTAAACCGTGGACAGCTCCCACCCTAAAGCCCGAGGTAGTCTCGCGGAGGCGAACCGCAGCCGGTCCAAACTCACCCTGAACCCTACCTTAAGTCGCCATTGGAACTCCTTCTTTGGGTTACCCCAAACCCTAAACCCTAAATCCTCTTTTAGGATCCTAAGTATAAACGGGGTAAGCAAAAGAAGGGAACTACAATGGAGATTAACCCCTAACAAGTCCCAGATTCTCGCTAAACCCTCCTTTTTTGAACCCAGACTCTGCCAATCAGCTGGCCTAAACCCTCCTATACCCTAAACCCTAAACCCTCAAACAAAGTCCCGGATTCCAGGGGCGCCACCTCCGCCCTTGGCAGGTTCAGCTGACTTAGCTGCTCAGCCAAGGCCTCGGCGAGCTGTGCCGCATCTGCCTCCGGGTTCAGGGCTCTTAGGGTTTAGGGTTTAGGGGTTTGGTTTGTTGTTCTCTTTACGGGCTATCAGGGTTTAGGGTGTAGGATTTAGGGGTTTAGGGTTCAGGGCTCTCAGGGTTTAGGGTGTAGGGTTTAGGGGTTTAGTTTGTTGTTTTCTTGCGGGCCCTTATCCAACTGCAGGATATCTAGAATCTAGAAGTCCTTACATGAGCCTAGATGTTTCGGCCTCTCCGCTCCGAACTCAAGACGGGGTTTAGGGTTCAGGGGCTGGGGCTCGTCACGTAGACATTTAGGGCTTGCAGTCCAGGAAGTGGGAAGAAGGGTCTAGGAATCAGGCTTTGAAGCAACCCTAAACCCTAAACC